GCCGCGCCGCGCACTCAATAAGGCTTCTCACAGCGACTGGCTAGATCGGCGAGATGCGCTACTGTGCCGCGCCGAGCTGCCATGAATTGACATCGTCAATTAACGTTATCTGTACTCATAACTTGTTACGGTATTAATACGTTTATTTTATATTCGTTGCACAATCTGCATTAATATTAATCACAAAATGATCATCTCGGTTTTGATATCAGTGCTCAGTGAGTAATAAGATGTTATATTTTAGGTACTAGACTCAGGTCAGCGATCAAGCAGCGTGCTCCAATTTCTTCGTAAATTAGAACAACATCAATCTTGAATATCAAGGTAAAAATATGTATGTTTACTACCACTTGGCTGTTTCACAAGATCTTGATATTCCAATATAGCCATATGTCTTGGATCTAGACTAATTATAATTATCCAGCTATTATACACTATACAGCTCCCTTTCATGACTCATTCTTCATCCTAAACAATATTTCAAAATATTCCGCCCCACACGTCATTTGTAGTCCATGAATCATGATATCTTGCTCGCAAAAATTGACAGGATAATCACAAAATGATTAACCTGCTCATATCAGTGCTCAGTGAGTAATAGGATGTTGTATTTTAGGTACTAGACTCAGGTCAGCGATCAAGCAGCGTATTCAAATTTCTTTGTAAATTAGAACAACATCAATCTCGAATATCAAGGTAAGAATATGTATGTTTACTACCACTTGGCTTGATATTCCAATATAGCCATATGTCTTGGATCTAGACTTATTATAGTTATCCAGCTATTATACACTATCAGAGACAAAAGGATTTCGCGGCTTGTATGAAATCGCGAATTTCCCATTCTCCGTGACAAATTTTATGTTAGTGTAGTCGTCCTGGCATAAAATCCACAGAAATATGAACAATTTTTTTACAGAGGATTTTTGATTTCTACGTGTAGATATAGGTCTCAGCTAACTTCTCTCAAAATTCCCAAGAAAAAAACCTTGTGCAATTTGCGTGGCGGCCACGCCCTTTTTTATTTGGAAAATATTAAAAATCACAATTTTTGTCAATTTTTACAAGTTTGATGGCTAAATCTATGTATTTTTGCACGAAAAGTCGATTCCCGTTGGTTTCTTTGCTCTATAACAAGTTTTTAGACACTTTTATAGATTTTTTGTTGTCAAAATTTATTTTTAAAAATTTTGATAAAAAATCACATTTTCTCCCATAACTTCAAAGGGAAGCATTTTAGGGTGTTTTATTGTTCATAACTCATATATAAATGTGCTAGTTGCGGTTATTTTGCGCCCTTCAAAAAGTCACTAGCACATTGCTATCAAAGTTTTAGAAAAATCAGTAAATAATAAAAACGAAAAATGTGCCTAAATTTGTTGTTTGGCTTTGAGGTCCAATAGATCTGAAGATAAATGAGTAAAAACATTTTTGAGGGCATCAAAAACTGCGCCAGAATTCAGAGAACAAGTTGATGTCAACCGTCAAATCAATCCAATCTTCCCTGACTGACTTTTTGTTAAAATAAGCCTGAAAAGGAAAATTTTAGCTTTTTAACTTTAAAAATTTATAACACACCAGCCTTTTTAGATACGATATCAAGATTTTACACACACCTTGAAATAGATGTGAATAAACGGCGAGCAAAATTTCAACCCGATACCGCAAGAAATGATTAACTTGTAGCGTCTCAACCAAAAAATTATTTTTTCCGAAAATTGCACTCTTAACCAGGAAATGCTCGATTACAAAAATAGGTATTCTCAAAATTATTTTTTTTGGTGTGGAAACGGTGCCCTAGAAGGTCACTGAACTGCCTATTAGGTCATTTGGTCTGGACAGATTTGGTGTATGCCCCCTTAATCATCTTGGAAAGGGTTTACCCTTTCTGGTTCCTTATTATTACATATTGTACCCTCACAGATACCACAGTTTTTATTACAATGCAACTGTGCCTTATAGCATTTACAACTGTTTGTATTACAAAGACCTTTACATTTGCAGAATATTCCATCCAACAGGAAATCAGGGGCTACTTGATTCGACATCGCCAATGGCATGTACATCCCGTTTGTTAAAAAGGATCCATAACGAGTAGGGTCAAGTTCATTCCCCAGCCATTGCTGGACCTGGAGATATGCACGTAGAGCATATAGATCGGCGGCATCACAAGTAGGAGGAAGAGACTCGGCAGTAACTACTGTGGCTGCTGCAAGGGATTTATCGGAGTATCTCGCTGCCCTCATTTTGTTCAGAGTGAGTTGTTCTCTTATGTCTTTCGTAGTCGACTATACTGTTCTCAGGATTGTTCTTCCTGCTTCGGCAATGTCTATTTTGGTTGCACTGCTCCGCTCAAACATATCGACAGCTGCCCAATAATCCACAACGCTCTCATCGACAAGGAAAAACTTGGACTTCCCCTTACCGAATATTCGAGGGGTTGTATCACACCCGGAGTTGGCACGAAGACTGATGATCGAATGCTTCATGAAGGGCTTTTCCTTGATGCTATCAGTAAGGAGGGCTATATCCCAGCTCCATTTCTTGGTCTGGAAGTACAGCTTTCCTGCTGCAGGCACATGCATCTTGGTGCGCTGTAGGAGTAGCACTATGAGATCGGTATCATCACCATTCACCAACCACTGTTACACACTTAGCTGGGCATTCGATTAGTGCGGTCATTGCAGTGTCTACAAGTACAATCAAGCAGTCGGCATCACTTCATGCGCTCACAACCTGTAATCCTTCGATGTCGGTCAACTTCAAGCTCGACGAAGCTCTGTTTGTTGTTACTATTCGATAGGAACTGTTGCTTCGAAATATCTAGGACCATTTCATCAGCCACTCTTATCTTGGTGCAGGATTGGCGAGTCCTCTTTAGATGGGTCGAATCCTTCGTTGTTGGTTCCTCGGGATAAGAGTCAAAAACGACTTTAACATCGCAGTCAGGCTTCAGGTAGTTCTTAGTGACGAACTTAGTGTATAAACCTGCAACTTCTTGGAACTTAGTTCCTTTCGTCCAGTTTATCGTGTAAAACAAGCTGCCTCCGTCCAGAACCACAGTACCCTCAAGCTTCTGCATCTTTGGACTGTAGTGCTTCTTCAGTAGTTCTGTTATCTGCGGCTTGTTTGCTTCTCTCATTAGCTCCTCACCCTCGAACAGGGAGGGAGGGAATGGTGCCAGCTCATACGAGAGCATCTCGTCCAGATCTGTCTCTTTCTCATGTGAGCTGACTAGTGCCAGAGCAATCAATCGGTCGAAGAGGTTCTGAGGATTTATCTGCATGATACTGCCATCCTTCCTACGGACTTTAGAACCCATGGTTATTGCTTGCTCTTTACGCTTGAATGTGAACTTAACAGGTATTCCCTCCATTTTCTTAAGTATAGCTTTTGCATCATAGATATTCACAGCAGAACTGGCCTGTTTGCCCGTGACTATGTTTTCGAGTTCATTGTGAGATGTGTCGAAGGGATTTCTCAATCTGATGAAGGTGAGTGTGTTCTCATAATCTTCCTTATTCCTCTTGTCGGACGTTTTGCCCATTCTCACATGCTGTTCAGAAGATCCTCCCTTGAGACCCAAGAGATCGTCGTGCACAGCATTTGTGACCTCTGCACACACATTTCTCGACAGTAACCACACTGCCTGCTGCACTTCTGTTAACCCCCTTCCACGTGTCAGTCCAACTCGTGTTTTCAGGGCCCTCATGAGCAGTTGTTCAATAATCTGATCGGAAGGGATGCCACCGTATTGCTTTTCAGTCCTTCTGATGGTGGCATACCCTTCGGCGAACATCTTGTAACCTTCAGAATCCTCTTGTTTCAACTCTTGCATTATTTGAAGGTACAACCAAACATCCTTCGTGTACAGATTGTGTCCTGTTGCCGCAAGGTAAGGTAACATGTCTGCGAGGTAGGAGAGAGAGTCTGAGAATTAGTGATTACCGATTGAATTTGATATTGCAACATCTTCCTTCTTAAGGATACTTTTCACTGGCTCATGTTCATTCCTCTTCGGGAGAAGTTCCATAGATTCATCTATGTGAAAATTGTCCAAAATTTCGATTTTCAAATTAAATCGGCACATGCGTCTGTTCAAAAAGGGCGTTGTCGCCTAAAAACTCGTTATAGAGCAAAAACATCAACGGGAATCGATTTCTCGTGCAAAAATACAAAGATTTAGCCATCAAACTTGTGAAAATTGACGAAAATTACGATTTTCAATAGTTTCCGATTACGAGCAAATATTAAAAAAGGGGCGTGGCCTCCACGCAAATTGCACAACTTTTTTTTCTTGGGAATTTTGAGAGAAGTTAGCTGAGACCTATATCTACAAGTAGAAATCAAAAATCCTTTGTAAAAAAATTGTTCACGTTATTTTGCCAGAATGACTACACTATGTATAGTTTAATGTATAGCCTGTTAAATTTCGCGGTACCGCGATTTTTGACCAAAATAATCGCGAAATCCTTTTGTCCCTGTACACTATACAGCTCCCTTTCATGACTCATTCTTCATCCTAAACAATATTTCAAAATATTCCGCCCCACACGTCATTTGTAGTCCATGAATCATGATATCTTGCTCGCGAAAATTGACAGGATAATCACAATATGATTAACCTGCTCATATCAGTGCTCAGTGACTAACAAGATGTTGTATTTTAGGTACTAGACTCAGGTCAGCGATCAAGCAGCGTGCTCCAATTTCTTCGTAAATTAGAACAACATCAATCTTGAATATCAAGGTAAGAATATGTATGTTTACTACCACTAATTGGCTTGATATTCCAATATAGCCATATGTCTTGGATCTAGACTAATTATAGTTATCCAGCTATTATACACTATACAGCTCCCTTTCATGACTCATTCTTCATCCTAAACAATAATTTAAAATATTCCGCCCCGCACATTTGCAGTAGTCCATGATATCTTATCAAAAAATGGTCTACCTTGCTCGCAATAATTGACAAGATAATATATTTTAAGTACCTGCAGATTCCGGACAGAGATTCAGCTGCGTTTCAAATATTTCCGTACTAAAGATTAACATTAATCTTAAATATCAAGGTAATAATATGAATGTAAAACTCCACCCCTCACAGCTCCCCTTAATCAAAATTCGTTCTTTATCCTGAACACCTGCTATCTCATTTACAAACTATGATTACTACATATAGCTTTAAACTTATAAAGTTTCATTTATTTCAGAATATCTTAATTTACAGAACAATGGACAACTACGAAAAGAACGGAGAAGAAATATTCCTCAATTTCTGCACCTCTGATCACGAACGACCTATTATGCTGCCGAGAGCTCCAGATCAGACGTATATAGACAGGTACCCGGAGAGTAGTGACTTCAAAGACGAACGACAACGTCAGTCTGATTATGAGGCTGAAGTTATGGTGTATAGGGCATTAGAGAAATTACCGGACGGTAAGATCGTCGTTCTTCATAACTTTGAATACACGCACCATCAATACCGTACGTGTGATAAAAATCATGTGAGAAGGGGTTGTCCTAAATGTAAATCTAAAAAGCCGGTAATTGAAGGAGAATGTGATTTTTTAATTTTATGTCCAGGCTCCATTGTTATAATTGAAGTTAAGAACATGTCTCACATTGACATCGATGATATTGCGATTGACAAGGAAAAGCACTTCCGAGCATTATATGGTACGTTCAAAAAGTCAGTTGAGCAGAGAAAGAAGATAGAATCTCTGATTCAATGTATAGAAAAGGACACAACTATCCGTCAGTTCACTGCGTATCCTAATTTCAGTAAACAATTTAAAGGACAGTTCCAGGCTAGTGAAGATACAAAACTTCGGCTAAGCGATTCAGAATTATCAACCGTGATATTTCATGAGGACATTGTAGATGTTAACAAAATCAACGATAATGATAGTGGGGAACTCATAAATTCAGGAACATCAACAGAAGTCAGAGAAACCAGAGAAACCAGCCCTGAAGAAGAGCAAGGTTATTTCTCTCGGTTTTTAAGTTGTTTGAGGGGCTGCTTTCTCGGAGTCAGAGATACAGAAAGACAAATCTCCAGTGATGACATCTCATCAGGCGATGACTTATCCAGCGATGACATCTCATCAGACGACGACTTATCAAGTTTTGGTTCTTGGTGGAATAACAATGCAACAATAGCTGAAGATACAATAATTAATTGTGATGCCTTTCAAAAAGTAAGAAATATCTTACTTGTTATATGGGCTAACTGCGATCAATCGAAATGTAGTTTAGCAAACTGCATATTAAACATTGATGAACAGCTCAGATCAGGAAAATTTATATTTTTACCAAAAAAAGGTAAGAATCGTGCACAGAATCCTGGAGTTGTAACAGCTCCTGATGTTATAAGAAACTATGTTGAAGTGGATAACCTGACAGCAGAACAATGTAAAGCGTTCGAATCAAGCGAGAATCTGTTGTGGATTAATGGACCCGCTGGAGCGGGAAAAAGTGTAATACTTTGCGGTCGAATAATCAAACTTGTACAACAATTTAATGAGGACAATAAGGTTGTGTTATTCAAATTCGGTGGTAAAGGTAATAACTGTCAGCTTTATCAGCGTTCATTAAAGAAAGCTGGTGTAGAATACGAAGATACCAGCATGTCTGACGTCACAGAACTAGTTACTCTAATATCAGAGAGTAAGTGTAAAGTTATCATTGTAGAGATAACACGTATGGATATACAGAAGTTAACAGACACAATCAGTGCTGTGACCAACTGTCACATATTTATTGATGATATACAGGAGTTATTATATTGCAGCTCAATTGTGAAGTGTAGTGAACTGAGGGACAAGTTGTTATTATTAAAGTACTCTGTCATGGTTGCATGTGACATGGCACAGGGTTATTGGAGTTTGAATAAAACGGGAATTATTGACAAACTAAGAATGATAACTTTCAAACTATCATCCACTCAGTTTGTACATTTATCAATGAGCCTTAGAAACACATGTGATTTATCTGACATCTTATGTGTAATACGAGAACAATTAAGAGAATTATATTCTTCAGGAAAACCTAATGTATTAGATATGATTTTACCTACACAATTACAAGGACATTTTATACACGGTACATTACCTGTCATGCATGTGTTTACTGATTACAATGTTACTAGTATTATGCGTGTATTTGATAATGAATTAGATAGATTGTGTACTGCTATGCATGAATTAAATTATTCTGATATAGGTATAGTTACTTATGTCGATAGTAGTGTATTGTCACTTGTTAAGGACAGTGTTAATATGAGATGTGTTTACACTGATAGTAAGATAGCAGTGTGTCGCAGTGGGTCTAGTTATTCTGCTCAGTGGCCAGCTGTAATAGTACTGTACAGTGTGAAGGGGTGCAGGGCTGAGTTTGAGCTGACTAACCTTTACTTAGCGTTATCCAGAGCACGTGTTTACTGCTCTGTTGTTATATTCCCATGGGAGGGTGAAACATTAGACGATACACCTCACATGTTACATTTGTTACGTAAACTGAGTAGCTTTGCCCACATTATACGGTATTTAACGGGTGATACTCGTAAAATATCTGTTCCATATATTGGACCGTCGACGAGTCCAACTCGGCGCGCGTCCTGGTAGGTTGTAAACCTACAATACGGTATTAAATCTTATATTACTGTGTAATAACGTTGGTGGGTGACTAGTTCTATTTTTCAGAAACATGTATACACAAGCCTTTAATGCATGAACTAATTGACGATTATTGAAATTTTGACCCAGCCGGGATTCGAACTCGCAACCTCCGGGTTAAAGGCCCAAGACTATCAACCAATTGTGCCACTGAGGTGACATTTGTACAAATATATTAGTAATTAAGGCTAGTAATTAAAACTTGCAAATAGTTTCACCCACTAACCTAAGTATTACTATTATTTAATTGTGCTTCCTTTCTGATTTATTGCTTAATATTACAGTGTTTTGTATCGAAATGTTTCATACAATAATATGAATGCGCCAGAATAAACATAGTAATTACATTTGTCATTCGTGGTTTGGAAACACCAAAATTACCCCAAATTATGAAGAATGTCAAAAAGTAAAAGCGGGACTAGTCTGCCTAATAACCTATTGGCTATTAATATAGTTCACTTATAAGAGCAGAAAAATAGATTCTAAATACTAATATAGTCTAATTTGTTTACTATCTTACTATATATGAAGCGAGACGATATATATGGATATATGGATCCGTGCCATTTTACTGACACCACGGCATCAACTTTAGCGCGACTTTCCGCAAAAACCGTAAAAGATATGCAACTGAAACTTTTTTGACTGGGTCAAATGCTTTAATGGCCTTCAAATCAGCATGAAAAAATAAAAAATTGGCCAAGGAATAAGAATTTAAGTGCCCAAAATTTGGACTCCCAAGTGGTGTCAAAAACGCGAATTAAATAGGTAATAATTATTTTAGTCTCTCAGTCTCTCAGTCTTGACACCACTTTAGGGTTAGACGGGTTCCTGCTAGTAATTATAAAGAACAAAACGTGAAACTTAATTTTGAAAATAGCAAAACATTTGTTCGAAGAACATAGCCATCTTAGAAAAGCGATAAAATTAATTCACAATTGTGCACTGAAGAAAAAAAATCGTAGATCACGGCTCAACGTCGCGCATGACTGATGACGAGAACAGAACGCAACTAAATTGTTCATATATATGCGTGCGCGATTCTCCCAAAAATGCACGCGTCACAGGAGGGGCTTGTATCACGTTGCGACCCCCACGGTCGTTTCACTATGGATACAGGGGGAGCCGCGCACTTCGTGCGCGGCGGGTCATACAACGTATGACAAAGGAGGGGCTAAGTGCAAAGAAACTGCTGCTCACTGCTGCTCACTGCTGCTCACTGCTGCTGTCAGTGAGCAGCAGTGAGCAGCAGTGAGCAGCAGTTAGTAGCAGTGAGCAGCAGTTATATGCGTGTCTTTACTGGGCAACGCACGCTGCGCGCAACTGCTGCTCACTGCTGCTCACTGCTGCTCACTGCTACTAACTGCTGCTCACTGCTGCTATGGGCGCGCGCGCGACAGCAGCAGTGAGCAGCAGTTAGTAGCAGTGAGCAGCAGTGAGCAGCAGTTAGTAGCAGTGAGCAGCAGTGAGCAGCAGTGAGCAGCAGTTTCTTTGCACTTAGCCCCTCCTGTGGCGTATCTCATGAAGTGCTTTTATTCCATATATGGTCATGCGAATCAAAATCCTGTAGGTTTATAACAAGTAAAAACCTACCAAATCGCGCGCCAAGTTGAACTCGTCGACGGACGAATATTTGGGACAAATATTTTACGAGTATTACCGTTAAATCAAAATCCAAAAACGGGTATAACTTTAACTATACTACTTACTTGTACTTGGAAAGGTCTCCTCCTAGTCGTTGGAGTGGCCTGCACCACATAGTAACTCCTTTCTCCGGTGTATTAGACCTCTCCAGTGAACCCTGTCTGTAGCTTGTTGTTCTGCATCTTCTATCGTGATGTTATCGACACCTGTGAAGATTGCTGCATCCTCCCGGACACATGACAACCAGTTTTTCCTAGGTCTACCTCTTGACCTTTTACCATGCTTTGGGATCCAGTGCAGAAGATAGTTTGGTATTCTTTCTTCTGGCATCCTCACCACATGGCCAAACCATCGGAGTCTAGCTGCTCGTACGAAAGTATCAACAGGGGCGATGTTAGCCCGCTTAAGTACATCAGCATTAGATACATGATAAAACCATTTGATTTTCAGGATGCTCCTCAGACATCTATCATGATGGAACACCTCAAATCTTTTCATCTGCGTCTGTGTGGTATTCCATACCTCACTTCCATAGAGCAGTATAGTGAGAACAGCCGCTTTGTAAATCCTGATTTTTGTTGGAGTCTTGATGCTGCGACTGTACCATATACTGCTAAGCTGATAGAATGCCCCAGAGGCCTTTTGAATTCGAGCTGATAGTTCTTTGTCAATTGTTCCATTTGCACTGATGATTGCACCCAAGTAAATGAAATTGCTGACCTGCTGTATTGGGAGACCTTCCACATTGATGTCCATAGTGTCGTCTTTAGAATACGGCCTCTGCGATGCACTTTTGCTGACAACCATGCTCTGTGTTTTTCCAGCATTAATCTTCAGACCCGCATAGGCACTGTATTTGCAGAAAAGGTCAGTGGTTTCCTGCAGCCCCTCTTTTGAGTTATCTAACATGGCCATGTCATCAGCGTAATCAGTCACAGTGTCCAAGAGATGTTTCTCTTCTACTTTAACTATAAGTATAAGTTAATAATGAGAATGAAAGTTAAAACTTTGCTAATAGTGCTCAAATTGAAATAATGTTGAATGTAGCATAAGTGATAAGCATATTTACCGATCTATCAGGTCCAGTGTAATACTAGTGTTATATTATTTTAATTGTTGAAAGGTGCAATTCGGTCAAATTAAAAAGTTACGTAACATTTTTGACCAATTTCAATGCGCGTTGTCATGTAGTACTAGTAATAATATTTAATAATAATATACTTATATACTAGTATATATAATAATAATAGTAGTTAATTACGTGATGCGCGTCATAAAAACTTGACCATTGTGCATTGTTAATGATCTGGCCCGGCGCGCGCTACTTCGTCGCGTAGCACTTGCCGTCGGGCCATTTAACATTTCAAGAAGAAAGCAGCGCGCGCTACTTCGAAGAAATTTAGACGAGTAACATCCGTCAACATCAAAACACGGATGAGATTATCATGGGAATATTAAAACAAACCAAATTTAGTTCAAGTTGAGCCAAAGCGGGAATGACAATTGATTACTTTATAACACTTGATTGTCACTGTCATCAAGATGCAGTTAGGTCTATAACCAGTTAGACTTGTAGCCCACTTCTGGGCCGCGCCGCGCATCCAATAATGCTTCTCGCGACCACATGCAGATCGGCGAGATGCGAAGGATTAACATTGTGAATCAACAATTAGACCTAACCAGGCCAGTTAGGCCTAAATTACAGACCTAAATTAGGCGTTAGGCCTAACTGCATGATGCATCTTGGTGACAGTTACTGTTCATGTTTTTACAGTCACGTGACTTTTTTGACCCGTACTCTAGACTCTAGGTGGCCCTGAATGACTATTCGAATTCCCTAATTACCCTCTAATCGATCCCAATCCCTCACAAAAGCATTTAGCATAATATGCTGAAATCTTAATCCTAACGAGAAATTAGACTAACTAAAACTTCATTATACGGTCATATCACGTGATCAAGACAGCTTTTCGCCAATATCTGCAGGGGAGCATTTTAACTCGGCCCTATGTCATATTGTCATGGGGGTGATTCGAAATCAGCGTTCGGAAATACATCGATTTAAGTTGGTTCCAACTGTCGAGGGTCCTATTAAGAACAGACTGTAGCAGTAGAGTGATTTAGCAAACTCGCCAAAGCGGGATTATAAAAAGTAGAACTGTGCTGGGATTATTTGTTAAGCGGGAATAAATTAACACTAACAGCGGTAGCCGGGATTATCAGAATTGATTATTCTATCCCGGCTGATTATTTTATCCTGTGGCTGTAGGTGTACCTATAACGCCGCTTTCTTCTTGAAATACTACATAATAGCCCGAGGCAAGTGCTACGAAGTAGCGTGCGTGCGCCGGGTTAGTCCATTAACAATGACAAGCCATGGCCAAGATATTTTGCTTTGAATCTCATTCATTTATCATTCATCCTTGCATCGATACAAATGATACTCGTAAAATATTTG